ACACAACACACAGCATATTTTTTAGGCTTATACACAAGCAGCTGAAAGCAAAGGATATTGCTTGTTTTGATTTATTTACCATCTTATTGTTTGCGTTCTAGTAGGTGTATGCTCTCCCTCTTTTTTTATCCTGAATGCACATAGTGCTCTACCAGGGGCTTTAGTCATGACAGCCTTTTAACCCAGGCTGCTCCACATAAAAGGGAATGGGACTGCAGAGAGGCAGCAGACACAAAAACTAAGGGGAAAAACACCCACACACCCACACAGACACACACCATGCATAGCCTCGGGTGACAGGGATAACCCCCCTTCAATTTCAGAGGTCCTTGGAATAGACTTATTGTGCAGAGGTACAACCCAGCAGAATAGCTGAGGCTTTTGAGCTCAGATAATAGGACCACATGGGACTGACTGGCTGACTGAATGATGCTCAATAAACGTGTGTAACCTGAGCTCAAGTCAAAGATGGGTTTTAAAAGGGAGTGTGTGGCAGCTTTATAGCTACCGAGGTACTCAGATTTTCCTGGTATGACATCAGCGGTTAAATAATGTCATTTTTGTAGTTATTGCACTGACATTTAAATAAAACTTCTGTAGACATAAAGGAGCGTGACTCTACACTGAGATGTGTGTTTTCATCAGACATTAAAGGATACATTATTTTTACACACTTACAAAAAGGTTTGGCACAGATAAATAAACCTGGGGCAAACTAGTGAAAGGCTATTTGATGACCATGTATTATTTAGAGCAATCAATTCTGCTGACGTCCTCCCTGCTGGTGTGTGTTCTTTGCCCCCCCACATACCTCAGACACACACACACACACGTATACATGGAATCGATGGCACTGAGGCATGGAAGGGGAAGAAAATCAATTTTTATTCTTTTTTATTGTCCCACATCTTTACCTTCAGCCTATACATTGAGCTTAACGAACATGGTTCATATCATTTTTATTGCACATCACAACCTGTTTTGACACCCTGAAAAGCCTGTTGATGCTGACAGACGTGGTGTGGCCCACTATTTCTTTATGCAAACTGGGTCCAGGCTTGCTGTGGAAACCTCTTTAATATGTATTCAGTAATATCTTACCTTAAAGTGGTATCTTTTTTCCACTCTGTGTCTAATGCTGTCCTGTCTGCATTCTTTAATAAGAAGGTTTTAGAGAGCACACAAATGCTGCCTAAACTAAAACAATATTCTTACAGTGCTCTAAAATATTGTGTTGAGCTGAGGGTAACTACAGTGTAGAGGCAATTCTCCGTCAGATCACCACTTGTTTTATGTTGCCATTGTTATTGAATCTGTTGTTTATGCAAGAATAATTTGCTAGTGCCGCTGTGACTTTAACTTGGTTGGATTCAGTTTCAAATTTGCTGAATATGGTTTGAAGTGTGTGGCTTTCATTATGATTGTGCCATTTAGCCTTTTTGCCAGTGACCAAGCATTATTCATGTTCCCTGGTTTCAACAAAGAGGGGTGTCATATTACCTCTTTTGTTTAATCCAGCTTTTCATTGTTAGCTTGCTCCTTTACTCTGAATGTTTGTGCAGATAGTTGGAAAACACTGGCAGCAGATACAGAGTACTGCATCGTGGTGCTAGTGTTTGGGCTGCTGCTCGGGGCATGTTTAAAGGTGTAATATGTAAGATAATAATATACAGTCTATTAACAGCAACCCACAAGGGAGAGCAGCTCATTACTAGAATGCTTTGGTAGTGGTATACTCCACTATTGTAGAGTAAAGTAAGGTAAGCCTTCTGGTCAGGTCAAGAATCACCTATGACTTCAGTTTTTTCCAAAACACTAAAGATTGGCACAAATTCACGTGATGCTCTAGATGGTTTTCTTTCAAAAGACTCTACGGAAATTTTAGGAAGTCATGGAGAGTGTCTCTAATTGGGATTTATTTATATGGTCACATTGACACATGACTCTTGAGGGAAGATAACCAGTTTAGGGATGGGGAGTGAATCTGAGGGCTCAGTAGAGCCAGAGCCACTGACTAAGTAACATTTTCCCATTTTAATATGAAGTGACATTTTCCTTTATTTCATGATTTTATACATGGAACACTCTTTTTCCACATCTCTGTTTAGACAGTTGCTCTTGCAAAAGAAGGAATCAGATGCATTCAGTCTGTCAGTACCGACCCACAACTTACTGAGCAGGATAGAGGCCGCGTTGCTAGTTAAGCATAAAAATGAATACCTTTTTTGCAAAGAGCCGTCTCCTTTGGCTGCCATTAATAACACGAGCTCATCATATGCAGTGTGGACAGTGCTACCCATGGACTCATTATCACCTCTTAAGCTACGAAGACAGATTACAAGGGTCTGGTTGGGACTAGCTGCTTGTTATGGGTCAATATTTCTGCAACATTATGCAAGACAACTTTGACATTTGGTCAGACTCTTTATTTCTCCACATTCTGCTGTTGAGTTCATTTTGAATCATTTTAAAGTAATTATAACATATTTTAAAAAGCTTTAATACCAGCAGACTCACCTCTCTTTATGTTTTACCTCTCTCCTCTAGATTGGCTTTCTTTCTTTTTCACTGCTAACAGTTCCCGTCTCCCCTGGCTCTTTGTTTTCACTCCTCTGCCCGACACCCTCCATTTCTCGTACTTTGACTCGCTCTAATTCTTCTCGTCTTTTGAATCAAAGCTCTGTTGCTCTGAGAGCACCCAGCGCACATGCATTTAAAGGACAGTTTTGTTATCAAACTGGCACGGTAACTAATTTTTGAATTACAGCTAAACTTTAATTGGCTGCATATAATCTTTTACATGTAAAATTATTTTCATTTTTCATTAGAAGTCAATTTGAAGCACTGCAAAGCATAGGGTTATCTGTTATTGTTTTGAACAAGAGACTCTTCTGCAGCTGGCTTTTTCTCTAACCAGTTAATATTTAGCAGAAGAAGCATATCTTGAATCTCTCTTATATCATTTTACTTTGTAGATCTCTAGTTTTCTTAGATTTGTTTTTTTGAATCCTAAGCTATTCTTTGATGTTTTGGTTGTCCAGTGTTGGCTTGACTACACAAATGTGATAGCACAACCCCTGCACAGATCAGCTGGATATTTCGACATGGTGAAGTGTCTCATGTGTGCAGCATCAGCGGTGTAAACAGATCAGTCTTACCCTGACTGGGATCATCGCTACAACTAACAAATTGCAGTTGTATTGCAGTTGTATTGCAGTTGTGTCACTCACCTTCCCTGTCCTTCTTAACACCTCTGCTTTTTCGCACCACATCCCGTCCCTCTTGTCTTTCCATCGCTCCTCAACCTGCCACTACTCCCATAAAAGAGGACCACTGTTCAACACATAAGCTGCCTGGATCATGGACTCAATGGAACATATGCAGGGCGATGATTCACGCCTGACTCACAACTGATTTTTGATTTGTGTGTGTGTGCATGTGTGTGTGTGTGTGTATCAAGCACAACTACCCACTGTGCCAATTTGGACCTTCTATTCAGAGTGATTCAGACGTTCCTTGGTTTGGGTGGAGCTGGTCTGTGGTCACTTCTACAACTATCAACTACAATGAAGGAAAAAAGGCCATTTTGCTGTAAAAGTGCACTTTATACACAATCACTGCAATTCAGTGTGGTTATGGAAGCGCTGAGTCAAATTGCAAGGGTTCATCATCATGGATGACTTTGTGCAGTACAATATACCCATTATTGTCCATCATGACTTCTCTGATGATAACTTATGTAACTGAGAGAATGCATCATGTTATTTCACTGTCACGGAATAATTGTATGTATATCAAGGGATACCTGATGGATTGGCTACACATCCAGTTACGATATCATGAAAATTGAAGCTGGTTAAAAGGAAATTGTTAAAAAAAAAAAGGCCATATACTGTAGCTCACTTTAAAAAACATATTTTTTGTGCTATTTACCAATAATTATATTTATCTGTCCAGTACACTACACCCCTGAGTTACAATCAAGTCTAAAATGTAGAAAGCTGTTGTAGCTTATTAGCTATATGCTTTGTGCTTTTCAAGACCAATTGGTTGTACAAATGTGCCTTTTGACTAAACTTACCGTTCAAAGCCCCAGAAACAAGCTGACTGAATGATAGCTAAGTCAGCTAGCTTAAAAATTAAAGCACGGAAAGCTAATGTGACTGACTACTTCTAGCATGTTCTTAGATTACAGTTGTGTTAGCTTTTAGCTCAGCAGCTACATTAGTTTACCAACTAGCCCAGTGAGTAGCTCCTACGTCAACAAGTCTCTAGCACTAGCAACTAACATTAGCGACTTCAAGTCAAACAAGTACAGGGATGTAAATACATTAAAAGTTTTTTTAAGCCACTAGCAGCCATCAGCTACAAACTGATTTGGAACCTTTCCTTTGGTTCATGTCAAATAAAACGAGGTTACAATGATTTACTATTAGATATTAGTAATGCTACTACTGAAACTCCTT